GACAAAAATTAATAATGGTGAATGGAGATTATTAAAAGAATTAATTCAAAAGAAAAATGAAGAAGAATCTCGTATTAATGATACAAATATTGCACAACCAATATTATTTGCTATACAAGTTGCATTAGCAGCATTATTTGTTTCATGAAATATTTATCTATCATCTATAATATCACATAGTGGTGGTGATTAAGCAGCTGCTTTTGTTGCTGGTCGATTAACTTTTAGAGAAACTGTTCGTATATTAGTTGTTTGACTAAGTGAAGAAGAAGTAGAAAATAAACTTTTGAAAGGTATTGAACATTTGGCTTATATTGTTGTTGTTAATAGTCTTCGTCGAGTAACAATAAGTGGTGATGAAAAAACAATTGATGAAATACAACAAATACTTTCAGTCTCTTATCCAAATGTATTTAAAGAACGTGTTCGTATTGAAAATGCATTTCATTTTTCACATTGAAAGATATTCGACGATTTCCAATACAAGATCAAAAACAAATATTTAATTCGATATGTGCACAAGCAAAACTTTATTCAAGTGTTACTGATGATAAAATCAATGATAATATACCAGTTGATAGTCAAATGTAAGACAAACTGTTCGATTTTATGATGCTATAACATTAATTATAAAAGATGAAGCAGCAAATGTTTTTCTTGAAATTTCACCACATCCAGTTTTAGCAACATCTATTCGTGAATGTTATGAATTAACAAATCAACAACCATTTATTCTTCTAACATTAAAAGGAAAAGAAAATGAACAAATAACATTACTTCCTAGTTTAGTACAAATTACAACATCATCTCCTCATGTATGGCAACAATATTTTCATACTCGTCAAATTTTATCGTTGAAAAATCATGAAGAATATTTTGATAATTTTCCATTATATAAATTTCATTTGAGTCCATGTTGGTATGAATCAAAAGATTCATCTAAACAACGTTTAGCTAATCGTAAATCTACTCACCCATTACTGGGTATTTGTCAATTAAATGAACAAACAAGTGCATCATAGAAAAGTCTTATTAATATTAATTTACTACAACATGCTATTTTTAAAAGATCATAAAATTCAA